GGAGAAGGAGAGGGAGGAGGCGGGTCTGGTGTTGGTGGAATAGCCGCTGGACTCCCAGTGTTTCACTCCCAGACAAGGAAGTGGCTGTGAGGAAGTGGGTCGGCAGTAGGCGGAGAAAGAGGCAGGTCGTGCAGCTGAGCATCTTAGAACGTGCCCAAATGGCTGGCGGGCGCTTCACTTTGGAGACCCACAGAATATTGCGTTCCAAAGAACCTCGGGAGGACACCCTTTGGGCACACTTTTTACCGGAAGCTTTTCCAGATATCCCTGTTCCCATCCCCCACAACCTTTTTTCCTGCTCTCTCCCTCTTCAAATTACTTACACACACACACACACACACACACACACACACCACATCCTTTACATATTAATAATGGCTAGCATTTATGCAGCCTTTTAAGGTTTGCAAATGATTTACAAATATTTCATTTGATCCTCACAACAACCTGGGAAGTAAATGCTATTATTATCTCTATTTTACAGATGAGGAAATTAAGGCAGACAGGTTAAGTGTCTTGCCCAGGGTCACACAACTAGTTTAGTATCTGAGGCCAGAACTGAACTCAGTTCTTCCTGACTCCAGGTGCAGTGTTCTTTATCCTCTGGGCTGCCAGCATATTACAAGTTCCTTCAGGACAGAAAGTTTTTATCTTTGTACCCTTTAAAACAGTGCTTTGCAAATATTGGGCATTTAATAAATTTCTGTAGAATTGAATTAGAAAGAAGACTATACTAGAACTCAAGATCCTGGGTTCTAGTCTACTTATCTTTCAAGGCTCAGATCAAAATCCTTGTAGCTCTTGTCTACAGACCTCCAGGACACTCCAGGACCCTTCCTTCCTCAGTGAGTTCAATACCTGGCTCAAAATATTCCTCTCCTCTTCAACCCCTGTCCTCATACTAGGGGACTTCAATGTACATATTGATACTCCCTCAAATATCCTAACTTCTCAGTTTTTCAACTTACTTATTTCCGATGGCCTACTCCTCCACCTCACCTCAGCCATATAGAAAGATGGTCATAACCTTAATCTTGTCATCAACTACAAATGTACCACCTCTATGACCCAGAACTCTGAAATTCGTTTATCTAATCACAATCTATTAGTTTTCCATCCCTCCCTCTACCTTCTCATACCACTGCTCTAGCCACACTCTCCTCCTTTCCCCATCTTGACCCCTTGGTGAACCAGTTCAACAGAACCCTGTCCTATTCTCTTCAGTTCCTTGCCCTATTATCATATCAATGATTATGCCTGGTCAAGCCTCAGCCTTGAATCATTCCCACCATCTGCTGCCATGGCTCCTACACACATATTGCTGAATGAAGTTGGAGAAAATATTGACTGGGTCCACTACAAATTTATGTTATAGAACTTTAACGGGGCCCTACCTGCTGGTAAACAAAGCTTTTATACCTCCCTGATTCATTATCCTACTCATCACAAGGATCTTCTAAACCTTTTCATTCCTCCTCAAATCTCCTATGGCTCCACCTCCTACCCTCTCAACTGAGAAACTTGCCTCTAAAAAAACTGAGGCCATTAGCCAAGAGCTAACTCTTCTCCCCTCCTCTTTATCTCATTTCACCCAGATGTTTTCTACTGCTATCTCCTCCTTTACCCCATCTCACATGATGAGACAGCACTTCTTGCCAAGACCTCTACATACACAAGTGATACTATTTCATCCTGTTTCCTCCAGCAAATTGTCTCCTCTTTCATTTCCATTTTTTCACATACAGTTATCCCTTCCACACTGGGATTTTCCCCAATTGAGGTTTCGATGTATCAAAAGTCAGCATAAGAAATTAAACGTGCATTTTTGGGGAGTTTTGCAGAAGCTGTGCAGATGATACATGAAGGCCAGCAGTTGACACAGAAAAAGTTAAGAAATTCAGAAAATATACATATAGTATTATATAATATAGACTATGACTTAACCCAAATTTTACAATATTGGTACTGTAAATACCCCATGAAAGAAAAAGAAAAAAAAAATTCAGACTTCTTCTCTGGTGGAAAGGGAGGGCCAAAAAATTTTACTTAGATTTTCCAGATCTAAAGGGTGCCATGCCCATAACCCTCAAAATGTGGAGTGATAACTGTGTCTTCAATCTCTCCCTTACTAGCAGCTGCTTCCCTACTGCCTACAACATGCCCATGTGTCTTCTAAACTCCAGTGGCTTTTTCTCCATCCTCATCCTTCTTGCCCTCTCTGAAGTCTTTGACACTATCCATCACCTTCTTCTCTTTGATGCTATCTTCTTTCTACGTGTTTGGGACACTACTCTCTCTTAGTTCTGTTCCTACCTATCTGTCTGCTCCTCAGTCTCCTTTGGTGGATCTTCATCCAGGCCATGCCCACTAACTCTGATTTTTGTCTTTTGTTATATTCTCATTGCTTGACACTTAGTAGAGACTTAATAAATGCTTGTTAACTTGATCCCTTGACTTGACTACTAAACACTGGGGATACAAAAACAAGCCAGAAACAATGCTTCCCCTCAAGGAGATTATGTTGTAAGGAGAGTAAACAACACATAAAGGGGAGCTAGAAGCTCCCTAGAAGGAGGAGTGTCTCAGGGTGGAGGGCTTGTTTCCCAAGAGATAGGGATGAAGGCAGAAGTAGAAATTGAATTGTTGAAGCTGGTGGCCTCGAAGTAGCTTGGTTCAAGGCAAAAGACCAATGGTGAAAGGTCACCAGTCACAGCCCAGGGTGCTTCTCAGGGTGGAGTCCAAGTGGGTTGTAACAGGCCAGAATGTCAATGACTTCTGTTTGGAGCTGTTTGGTAGGAAGTGAAGTAATCTGTAATAAGTCTAAAAAGACACACTGGAGCGAGACTGTGACCGGCTCTAAATGCCAAATCAAGGAGCATGTATTTTTATTCTGGAGCCTACTGGGCAGCACTGAAGTTTTTGAGCAGAGGTTTAACAGGATCAGACCAGGGCTGAAGAAATATCAATTGGGCAGCTTAATTATCATCAACATTCACTCATTGCCTCCTCTATGTATAAGCATGGTTGAGTGCAGGAAATATTAATCTGGCAAGAAAATATCTAACTTTTCATTCACTGAGCAAGTTCACATTCATTTCCTTCAAATAGCTTTCTTTGATATCCCAATTATTAGTGCCCCTCCCTATCATTATATATTGGATATATCCTACACTTATTTATCTGATTAATCATTCAATAGACATTTATAAATACATACTAGGGGCAGCTAGGTGGCTCAGTGTATAGAGCACTAGGCTTGGAATCAGGAAGATTCATCATCATGAGCTCAAATCTGGCCTCAGATACTTCCCAGCTGTGTGACCCTGGGCAAGTCACTTAACCCTGTTTGCTTCAATCTCCTCATTTGCAAAATGAGCTGGAGAAGGAAATGGCAAACCATTCCAGTATCTCTGCCAAGAAAACCCCAAATGGGGTCACGAAAGTTTGGACACGACTGAAATGACTGTACAAAGTGCCCGCTATGTGACAGGCCCCTTGATAAGTGCCAGTGATATGACAAGAAGAAAAAGACAGTCCCTGAACTCAAAGAGCTCACAATTTGACAGGGGAGACAACATGAAAACACATGTGTACAAAACAAGTTATATACATGATAAATAGGAAATAAAAGAGGGAAAGCATTGGAATTAAGAGAGGTTAGGGAAGACTGTGGGAGGTCGATTTTAGTTGGGACATAAGGAAGCCAGAGAGGTCAGTAGTCAGAGCAGAGAAGGGAGAGCTTACCAGGAATGAGGACTGCCTGAAAGAAAGCCTGGATGGAATGCCTTGTTCATGGAATAGACTGGAGGCCAGTCACTGGACTGAAGAGTGCATGTTAGGGAGTAGGGTGCAAGAAGAGAAAGGTAGGAGGGGGCTAAGTTATAAAGAGCTTTGGATGCGAAACAGAGCATTTTGTATTTGTTCCTGGAAGCAATAGGAAGCCACTGGAGTTTAAGTAGGATGGGTGACATGATCAGACTTGCTCTTTAGAAAAATCATTTCAGTGGCCCAACAGATTGGTGTGAGGAGAGACTCAGGGCAGGTAGATCCACCAGCTGGCTAGTACAGTAGTCCAGGTGTGAAGTGCTGAAGGCCTGCATTAGAGTGGTGGCAATGTCAGAAGAGACAAGGGGACATACATGAGAGATACTGCAAAGGTGAAATCAACAGACCTTGGCAACAAATTGGAAATGCAGGGTGAGAGATAACGAACAACACAGGATGACTCCTAGGTTTTCCTATAGATCCTCTGTGAAGGCCTTCCTCTAGATTTTTTCACTTCTCTTGGGTACTAGTGCCGGATTCCAAAATTCTACCTGTTGCTAAAAAAGTGTCCCTATTACCTTTCAAAAGAGCTTCCTCTCTTTGAAGGAGGAAATTTACTAGGAATAGCCTAATACTTGATCAAAGGCTTATAACCCCATTGACTTTAAAGATCATCTGTACAACCCTTTGATTTTAAAATGAAAAGGAACTGAGACCTAGAAAGAGGAAATGTTTGGTTAAAGGGAAATTCAGAATAACAACTCAGGTTCTCTGACTCCCCATCTAGCACTCTTCCCAGCAAAACACCCTGTCAGCTATGACCTCCTTAGAAAACTCAGTCTTCCAAATACATTTTTTGAAATGGTCAATGCAATCTTTCTTTTTTTTTTCCTTTCATTATGCATATATGTAACAAGGATTTTGCTTCCTTAAAATTTCTCAATGGAGAGAGAAGTGAGAAAAGAAAAGGAAAGAAAAGAGAAAAAAGGAAAGGAAAGAAAAGATATGGAAAAAATAGGGGGAAAAAAGCCCGTCTCTGAAAAACAACGCGGGGCCCATAGCCCAGGACTCGAGGTATTTTTTAAGTTGGAGGATACGGGGATAAAACGTTAGGCCAGGCAAGGGGGCACAGGAGGGTGGAGTAGAAACCACGTGGTAGCCCGCCTATCCTTCTTCCTGCCCACCCAAGAGGGGGCGGGGACTGCGGGGTTACGTACGACGCACGGGGGCGTGGCCAAGCCCTTTTTAGCTATGGTGGCGGTGGCGACTGCTTTTTTGGAGGTGACTGGAGATGATCTGGCCCTGACCCTATCCAAGTCCATCCTGGGCCTTGGAGACTTCCAGCTGGTGGCTGTGGACAGATGAGGACCGTGAGGGCCGGGAGGTTTCATCACGGAGGGTTTGCGGGGCTCCGGTCTTGTGCGGGTCCCGCCTTAAGGGACGTGTGCGGGAGGCCGAGGAAAAATGTTGCCTTGCCGGGCCCTGGGAGCACGTGACCGGGACCCCGTGACCCGGCGGCTTGGAAGCTCACAACCACCACCTCTGCTTTGCTGGCACCTGGACTGATGCCCTGTTCTCTCCCTAGTGGAGGAGCCCGGGGATGGAGGGAACCTCGTGGGTGAAGCTGAGGCCTGCCACGTGAAGGACTATCTTCTGCAAGATGAATGGGTGAGGGACGGCCCCGGCTAACCAAGTTTAGCATCCATAGCTTAGTCTCTGCCTTGGGCACATCTTCCTTACTGACCGCCCCCTCCCCATCCCCGTAGCTCCCGCTGTGACCCAGGCTCGGTGCTAACCGCTGGGGAAACAAAAGGGCAGCAAACTCGAGCCCTTTGCCAGGGAGCTCACAAGTACAATGGGGGGTGCAGTATGCAAACAGCTGTATACAAACAAGATGTGGACAGCGTGAACCAAAGTTACTGCCAGAAGGAGGGAGGAGGAATGGGAAAGATTTCTTGCAAAAGCAGAACTTTAGCTGAGACTTGAGGGAAGCCAGGAGGCAGAGATGGAGGAGGGAAAAAGTACCAAGATATGGGGTCAGCCAGTGAAAACTACACAAGACTTGGGAAATGTGCAAGGTACACCCTTTGGACCTTTGATTCTCCCCAGTTCTCCCAGCCAGGAATGCCCTTTCCCTTTGGAAAGAGCCATGGTCTTGGAGACAGAGGACCTGGGTTTAATTCCCAGGCTGTTTTCCTTCAGTGACTTTGAACAAGGCAAATAAGCACTCATAAGACACACTGTAAGACTTGCTTTTTTTATCTATAAAATGAGAGGGTTGGATTTCCAAGGTCCCCTAAGGACCCTATTACTTAAAAATCTGATGAACTTATAAGACTTGATAACAGCTATGGGATGGTAGATTACAAGGAGAAATAGAAGAAACAGGGGATAAAGAAAGGTGGATCAGAACTAATCTCCCTCTCCACTTTGTAATTATAGGTTTCTGGTGTTAAGACTAAAATTCCTTAATAGAGAAAAGTATTAGGAGTTAAACTTCTTACCCAGACTCCACTCATTGTACACAAAACAAAGGGGTTGAACAAGGTGGTGATTAACATCCAAGCTCTTAACATAAGGACATTGATAATGTATGAAAAAACTGAGCCCCCCCAGAGTAGTTAAAATAACCTTTTTTCTAAGGTTACACAGTGAGAATAACAGAATTAGGGTGAAGGAGTTAGGAGTCCAACCCTAGGCTTCTTACTGTTAATCTGGTGTTCTCTACCTTACCATTTTCTACTCCCTTTCCTCGCAGGAATAGGCTGAACCTGCCTCTTAATGCATGGGGCTAATAAACCAACTTGGTAAGTACATTTAAGAATATACTGTGTCTGACATAGTGATTAGTTACTGCATAAATATCTTAGTGTTTGGTTTTGAAATTTTGATCTCATTAACAGCCATTCCTCATGTCTGAGTCTGTGGTAACCCCATGCATTTCCAGTAACATTTTTGAAATGGTTTAAGGCCCTACCCTCTCTTTCTGATTATGGTGTTGGAGCAATGAGATGAGCTTTGTGTTAGAGAGTTCTGATGTAGGGTTAGTGGGCAGGATTCGGCTTTGATTCTTGGAGGTCTGATGCTAACCTCTTTATGTTACTGGGGTAAATAAATTGCCCTTCCTAATGGGCTACAGCTTCTGTCTCAAATTTCTGCTTTCTTTAGTTTCAGGTGGTGATCATTGACTGGCTCCCAGCAATTGTGACTTTCTTTGATGGACTGGAATTGGTAGGTGTAAAATTTGCTAGTGGACTTCTGTCCAAATCACCTATTGTTCCTCAACTTCCTAAGGCCTTCTTTGTCCATATGTTTGAACTTGCTACATCCTTTTTAAAATTGCCATTCCCCTTATGACCCTTACTGCTTTTTGAAGGGGAAAGGAATTGGATGAATGCCAGTGTTGTGTTGTCATCCTGGGAGAATGATGGAGCCAGGTACAGTAGACCTGGCTGCCAGTCTTAGCCCTTCCCTGACTGCTTAAGTTTTCTCATCGTGTAAAAATGAGTGACAAGTTCAATCCATCCTATACCTCCCTATTCTTTCAAAGATGACTCCCACCTCAGGATAGCTGGATGGAACTCTATCCTATAAATTGTACTGCTTCCTCTGTATGCAAGCTTTTCCAGCATGTCGGTGTCCTCTATGACTCCAGACATTCCTCAAGACTTGCTAGAGTAACCCTGAGATGGTTTGAGGCCTCACTCTGCTGTGACTTCGGAGTAAGGTTATAGAAATCTCAGATATCATAGGTTAGACTGGGAAAAGTAAATGTTTGAAATGTTTGTGGGGAAACAAAGCCTTGTCTGTAACTCATTTTGAATTCTCTAATCTTTAGGTTTAGACCTTTCATCAGCTTTGTGAAGGGGACAGTGGGGGAATCTGGAGAATGGAACTTCTTCAAGATGTCAGTCACCTCTTGGACTTCAAAACCATTAAATGATGCTTAATAAACCTTATTTTTACAAAAATATTGCACTCTCAATTTCACTTCTGCTTCCTAGAATATGTCAAGATGGTGATTATTGCAATTAGTATTTGTGGCATGGAATGACCAGAGCCAGTAGGTCACAAAGGGTGGGGAGGTTATATGATAGCCAGCTTCCCAAGTTTCTGTTCTGGAGCAGTAAGTATGATCTCTGTGTGCCTGTCAAATACAATTACTCTAAAGTTGAGGATGCAACTTAATAAATACAAGGTAAAAACACAGGAAATTCAGGGAGGTGGGGGGGGGAACAACACATTGGGAAAAGGCCACTTGGAGAAGGGGGTGCTGTAGATGAGATTGGTCTTGAGAAGGAGAAATGGTAATCTGGTGGAATGTTAAGAGCCTAGAATGCCAAATGGGTTGGCTTTCAGGAACAGGCAAAATAGTGTAGTCAGCCATGCATGTGCTTTAGGAATTATCAATCTAACATATTAAGTACTATGTGCTGTGGCCGGTGCTGGGGTTACAAAAGTAACTGAAAGCCTCTTCTTTCAAGGACCTAATATGATATTAGAGGGGATCCTGAGAGAGGGATAGCAGGGAGGCAAATTGGGCTTCCTCACAGTCCAGTTGGGGAAAGGAGACCCTGAACAGACTAGGTATTGTGTTTGACTGGTATCAAGGGATGGGTAATGGGAAGATTTGGAATCCCAGATTTAGAGATGGGAGTGACTGGTGGTCTTTAAGAAATGAATAGGCTCAAAGAGGTTGTGATATGACCTTAGGTCACAGGTGGTAAAGGCTAGGGTTTGTGGTTGCTCTTGTGCATCCTTGCCCTGTGCGTCTATGGAAAGACCTGGCTTCCTGTCTACCAGCTTTCAGCTCTGTGCCCATGCAAGTTACTTAACCTTTTGAGACTCAATTTTCTAAAGATTCAGCTGGAAAGAACCCCAGAAATCTAGTTCCACCTTCTCATTTGAAAAATGAAAGAAGTCCAAAGAGAAGAGACCCAGGGTCATACAAGTGTCAGTGTCAAGATCCAAACCCAAGTCCTCTGACTAAATTTTTTACATCAGGTACTCATTTATAAAGTGCTACTTAATAAGGATTTTGGGAGCCAAAGTGTAAAGAACTTTAAAATTAAGCTATTTGTTGCCCACAAATATTTAGGGCACCCCCAGGATATGACAAATTGAATCACTGAAGTAGAAATAACAGCTGGGAATTTCAATTCCATGGGTTGGAACCTTAGGGTAAAATTATAATAGAATTTCCAGGCTCTACGGTAAGAATGATTCAGGCGTAGGGAGGAGTGTGCCATCCCCTGAGCTTCTGAAATGATGGCCTGTATAAGAGATCATGTGATTTGAAACTGGCTGCCTTCACAGCTCATTTTGCTTTTGAATTAACAGGTAGTTTTGCCTTAAAACAAACCTCAGTTCTTTCTTGGTCTTCCTTGGTACCAGTTCTAAATGAACTCTGGTATCTCTTAATCCTTCCTACCTGGCCCCTCAAATGAAGTTAGCAGTGATACAGTGGAAAGTATCAGTTTAGGGGTCAGAGACCCTGGTTTCTGATCACATTTCTGATCATTAATGTCTCTGACCTGTGTGGGTCTCAGTTTTTTCATCCCTAAAATAAGAGTTGTACTGCTGGGCTCTGAGGTCTAAATTCCAGATTGTATAATTGTGTGTCATTTAGGTCTCTGATATCCAGCCCACACCAACAAGGCTATGTGCTGGGAACTAACTAGGAGAGAAAGCTTTGCTGTTGCCTCTCCTGAGAACTTTTGATGCCTAATTTTGTTTGGTTGTTTTGATGGGGTGCTTGGGTGCCTGTGTTTGGATCTCAATTTCTCCAATATCCCTGACAGTTTCCCTCCAGCCCAAAGACCCTATCTCTGGTAGTTACTCACGAGTGGGCCCAGTGAGGCAAATTATCTCTCCCTGTTACAAGAACAAGCTGACCTCTGTAGAATTTCCCTTGTACTATCTTGTATCAACAGAA